ACTGTGATGTTGAAAGGTCTGCCTTGGATTTGTATTGGCAGACATTCTATCATTTTTGAAATTGTATCCCAGTACAGTTATTCCCAATCTTTTGTTGACTATCAGCGCTACTCCATTTCTTCTACGGGATTCTTGCCCACAGTAGCAGATATGACAATCGTCCATTTTAGTTCACTGATGCCCAGGATGTCAATGCTGATTCTTGCCGTCTCCTGTTTGACCACCCCCAGCTTCCCAAGGTTCATAGATCTTACATTCCAGGTTCCTATGCAGTATTTTCCTTTGCAGCATCAGACTTTTCTTTCACTTCCAGGCGTGTCCGCAGCTGAGCGTCCTTTCGGTTTTGGCCCAACCACTTCATTAGCTCTGGAGCTATTTGTATGTGTCCTCCGCAATTCCTCTGTAGCATGTTGGATGCCTTCTGACCTGAGGGGCTCCTCTTCTAGCATCATATTTTTTAGCCTTTTGTTTCTGTCCATGGAGTTTTCTTGGCAAAGATACTGGAGTGGCATTGCCATTTCCTACTCCAGGTGGATTGCATTTAGTCGGAACTCTCCACTATGACCTGACCATCTTGGGTGTCCCTGCACGGCATAGCCCATAGCTTCTCTGAATTACTCAAGCCCCTTCGCCACGACAAGGCAGCAATCCATGAAGAGGTGCCATTATGTTTAATAGTAAAATTTCAGGCTGAAAGAATTTTAAAAGGAAGAATGAAGATAAGTATTCTTGAAAGACTATGGCCAAAATCCACTGCTGCATTTCTACAGCATTGTGTGCTTCCATATCCAAACACAATGCAGTCAGGACTTTCTTCCCTTCCCCTTTCCATTACAGCCTTTCATAGCACCAGCCTCCTGTTCTGGTTTTGCAGACTTCTAGAACAGGTTTATGAGGTGCACAGTAGACTATGGGGGTGGTGGTTGGGGAGGAGAATCAACAGTTTTGGTGAAAGGTTTTGGCAGAAGCAGTGAGAGCTAATGGAAGTGCACTACTGGATCTTGGTCCTGGTAAATATATTGATAAGGCTGACAGTCAGCCAAAATTTTGTTAGGCTTTTTGTTTTTTAAAGGTACAGGACAGATGATAGGAACTTTCTCAACAACAATTTATGACCAGGAAATACCAAAAGTTTTTATTAAACAAATACTTAAAATCAGAGGATTGACGAAATGACATTCTCAAGTGCACCCTCACCCTGCATTGCAGATGTATAAGCCTGGCTCAGTTCAAACCACTAAGTTTCAATACATTGCCCCCAGGGAATAAGAACAGACTGGATACTAAGAGAGGAGGGTGTGTCATATAAGTTCACAGATGACCACATGAAGAATCACAGTTCCAAGTCACCCATCATTCTTCATCACAGGATCTGGATAAAACATAGGCAAAACAGTGTCCTGATACAAATGGAATGAAGACACCACCTTTGGCAGAAAGGACAGATCTGGGGAAAAACCACTTTGCGTCTATGGAAGTTTATAAAAGGAAACTTCAAACACAATGTACATAATCCAGAATATCTTCTCACTGACATTACAGCAACTGAAAAGGCTATTTTGTGGGAGAAGAATCTGAAATTACAGTCTCATTTTCTTTTCAACATGGCAAAAATTTTCCTCCTAAGTCAAGATAATACTACTGAAAGTAATCAGGCTGGAAAGTGAGTTTGCTGAACTTAATGTTTACTAAACAAGAGGGTCCATAAAGAGTGTATGTTCATATAGTAAAGTTGGATGACAAACCAAAATAGCATCCAAGTAGAATAGATGGAAGAATAAGGCCATTGTTTTTCAGATCTACAAGGAACTGAATAACATGATGTACATGGCATGAGCCTGGTGGAAAGATATTCTTTGCCTCATATTCAAGGTAAGCTTATCATTTCTACTGGTAAGAGCGGCTAGTGAGAGATTTGTGGGAATAAAGGAAATAGACTGAATGTCAGGAGAAAAAGATAATGGAACTAGACACATCTGCAATTGGCTGAAAAGAATGTGTCTGTCAGATTGATTAAGAAGATCTAGATGCAAAAAAACAAATGTAGAAAAAGTTGCTAGAGGGGAACTAGAACTTTACAGGATTTGGAGACTATACTTCTGTTAATGCAGCCTAAAATAGTATTTGCCTGTTGTTGTTGCACCACATCATTCGCTCATATTCAGAATGTGATCTACAATTCCAAGGTCCTTCTCACATGTAGAATTACTGCACCAAGTATCCACCATCTTATAAATGTGCATTTGGACTTTTTTCTGAAGTGTAGAACTTTCTCTTTGCTAAATTTAATTTTGTTGTTTTTTGCCCAGTGCTTGAGCCTATTAAGATCTTTTTGAATTTTGTTTCTGTCTTCCAAAGTATTAGCTATTCCACCCAGTTGGGTGTCTTTCATAAATCTGATACAGACTCCTTACACCCAAGTCTCCTGAGTACTAGTCCATCACTTAATCTACTAAACCACACTGGTTCTCAAATATTTATTGGGTCTCCGCTCAAATCAAGCCATCTGTTACCTAAAATTGTCATATGAGGGATTTCTCCAGATCTCCCTGCTGTCAGAAGTATTATAGTTCAGCTTGAAATGCAACTTTTCTATGATGTCCCCTCAATTTTACAAGGCTTACCTCAGGAAATCCCACCTGTTGCAACTGTTCATGGTATTTGGGTGTCATGAAAAAAACATTTCTGTTTTCCTAGGTTTTTAAAACTGCTAATGTTATATTTTAAACTGAAGTACAATTTTTAAACTGTTTATTTGAACAAATTTTGCTGTTTTACATTGCAGTGTTAGTTTGCATGTTTTACTTTGTTTTCAATATTTTATTTCACTAATATTATTTGTTACCACTTTGTTAACAACATTAGGGACATAAATACCTGAAGATGTAGGGCATAAACTACATAAATAAAGATATAAATAAGTATTTGTAGTTATGGATTCACCCACCTGTTGTTGTCTACATATCGGATCAACATAGGATAAAATGCATATAGGTCTCGGCAAAGAACAGCAAATTCATCTAGAATAAGGAGTTCTGCTTCTTGAGTATCAGTCTTACTGTCTGCCTTCAGTTGTTCTTCCTCCATTACAATCTTGATAGCTTTTTTCTTCAGTTTTTCCAATGTTGGAATAAAATGACTTTTCAACAGATCAGGCCTTGCCTTGCTAATGATTGGCTGAGCATACACTGAATACAGAATATATACATATGAAAACACATTTAAAACTTTTCAGTGTTTCCACCCACCCCCAAGAATTAAGTAGCCAAATACATTTATTCCAGTTTGAGCTTTATGCTGGTACTGAACTTCAGGTTTCAGTTCAAAACCATCAATGACACATCAAGATCTGTTGCTATAAGTATGATCTAGTTGGGTTCAGATGCTGTCTCTCCCTATGTATACAAAGAGAGAAGGTTGAACTGTTCCTGGTTAGGATAACAGTTTTTATTGTATCTTAACTCACTAGTATATGGAATGGTGGTTTATTCGCAGTGTATTTTATTAATAAACTATGTCAGAAATCAGATTATAATCCCAACATGAAATCCAGCTTGTTAAGAAACTAGTTTGTAGACAAAAACCTATCACAGGTGATCAAATACAACAACAAATCAATAATCACCCAGCTTGGACATCACAAAAAACCTGGGTTCTGGGAGAGCCACAATTCACAATTAACAAGTAGCATGGTAGCACACATTGTCCGAATGGTCTTATTGCATGCAAAACTGGCTAAAGTAATCACAAAACTTCCATATTTTCTTTACAACGATGTCTGAACCAATGAGACCGAGAAATCTAATTTATCTTTTTCCTGACAATCCAAAGAAATAAATGTGGAAAAAAAATTCATGGGATACTTCTCTGGATTATCAAAAGAAAGATGTCAGTACTTGATCCCACTAAATGTAGGCATTATATATAATAAACTACTGACAGAAGGCTTTTTTTTCTTGTTTAGCTGCCTTTGTTTCTAGGAGGTGGACTTGATCAAACAGTGCACTAACACAGTGCCTCACTCACTATGTGCTACAGTGACCCGAATTGTTTAGTGGTCTAACTTGTTGTGACATTAGAACATGTCTACTCAGTAAATACTAAATAATGCTTCTTTGGTTTTTTTTAATTTACCAGATTTAATCCTAATCTATATTGTTGTAGTTGTTCTGTATGCTAAATGCCAGTGCCTCACTCACTATGTGCTACAGTGAGCCTAATTCTTTAGTGTTCTAACTTGTTACGACATTAGAACATGTCTACTCAGTAACTACTAAATAATGTTTACCAGATTTAATCCTAATCTATATTGTTGTAGTTGTTCTGTATGCTAAATGCATACATTTCTGTTTTCTGGGGTTATTTTTTATTATCTTGTTAACTTCGAAAATTTTAGCATGATTGAAGCTTTCTTTCCACATTGTTACTGCTGTATTTAAGTATACTGCAAAAAATTTTCACAAACATAAATAAATAAATCTTGATTATAGAAGAATTAATATTTTCTCAGTGCTAAGATGGATGGATGGACAGACCAAACCATTATTTCACTTAATCTTCAAGAGTTACCTGCAATTCTCTTCATCCAAGTTGCTTCATCTATCCCAAGGTTATTGTTGATGATTTTCAAAATGTTCCCCAGGATTATGCTAAGATGTTCAGAGGTTACCATTGTGCAACAGGGTCCATCACCTTCAGAGATATTTTCAGGCCCTTTTTCCCACCAGTATGATAGGTAGTTACACAGCATGGGCAAGATCACCTCAATCACATGAGGCATTTCAGTGTATCTGGCTCCAGATTCTGCCAAGCTGTTTATTTCTTTCATCAAGCCATCCAGTTGAGGGATTTCTGGACACATTTCTTCTACAGTTTCTGGCATACCTAAAACTTCATATTGTAATGGACAATAAAGTTGTGTGGATTAATATGCTTCACATTTGGGACAGCTGAAACACAATTTAAATAATGGTATTTCCACCATGATACTGACACACATAGGCATTTTCTGTTCTCTTTTTTACTTAGACAAGAGATAGACAAATTCTTCATGCCTAGAAACATGATTGATTAGTTCCATTTACTGTTTGAAGCAATGGATTTCTAGCTGAATGGTGTGCATTGAGCTTTAAATCTGTTCCATATCAACAAGTCCTAGTTATCACAAGCAGATGAGGTAATAAACTTCACCACTTCAAACTCCTACTCAGGGGCTTAATAAGACCGAATGCAGTAGCATAATGAAAAAAGGATTGTATGAAATGACACATAACAGTATAGATTATTTTTGCTGCCAGAATATTAAAAACAGGGGAAACTGTAAAATATTAACAAGGTATGAATAAGCTTCAAAATATCCTGTCAATTTTTTAAAAAAATGCACTATAATAAAGGAAGTCAAACAAAATATGTCTTCTTCAAAATTGGCTTAAGTGAAGGGCTACATAACAGAGATTCACACTTTATGTATGTGAGACCTCTAGAAAAGCTTTTTATCATTGTAAATCTTCATTTACGTAAAGGCAGCTTGATTCTCAGATAAAATAAATACATTATAAATTAATTTCAGACTGAGACCTGTTCCACTGAGACATCAACATTTATGGTCACTCATCATCAAAGTGAGCATTGGAATATTCTCTGAAAAACCAACCAGTTTTTCTCTCAACATTGAAGCAGAAGAGATAGAAAAGATTTGCCTGAAACAGTTGCATGGTGGTATGATACCTGTCTGCAGCTTAAAGGGAGGGGCAGAGTACCCACAGCCAAACCATTAGTCCTCCCTCCCACCTTCCTTTCTCCAGAGCAGAAAAGAGATGGACTTCCTTGGCTTTTGTTTCCTGCTGTCACTCTACACATCCTGCATGGACTGAGATGCCACACTGCACACCTCTCTTTCTCACAGGAAACGAATGTGTTTGTTTTAAGTGCTTCATGACCTCGTTTAGACCATTAGATCAAAAGCAAGAACAAAAGCAACATCTCAAAAGCCCCAGGACAAGACAATTAAGAATAGTAACTTGGAAACTGTAACTGAGATGTATCATACACATACCAGTACAAGTTAGAGACATGTTCTTCCTGTTAATTTGCAATTCTTAAACTCAATGAGAAGCAACTGCTTCATGAAGATGAGAATATCCTCTAGCCACTACAAAGAACGAATATACCATAGTTAAGTCACAACATTCCTTATACTTGCAGTGGAAATGGGTCCTTTCTCTTTGGCATCTCTAAAAATTACAGCAGCTGCTAGGGCACCTGGCATCTAAATTAGCCATGGCCAAGGCAAAGATATCCAAATTTATTGCTCTGTGTGAAGAATGAAACTGATTCAGTTAGAGAGGCATCAACAACAAAGTTGGCAGAGATGACAGGGCTTCATGTGTGATAATGTGTAAACTCCCAGGCATAGTGGAAGCAAAAGCCTCTTATTCCAGTGAAATGTACAGATCTACCTCACCAGGGTCGTGCAGACAATGTTTTATATCATTGTGTTATGCTGAAAAGAAATAAGTAATGAGAGGTTCAGATGCCCTTGGAATGCTTGAGGTAACTTTTGATGGCAATACTTGACATCTAATTGAGGCATTTTTTTCTCAGCAGGTTTATGTGGATTGGGATAAAAAGCAGTATTGACTCTCCTACCCTGTGAAACACTAAATAGATTTTAAGAACATTAGGACAGCAACAGCAATGCCCAGTTAGAAAACATCTGTCCCTACGGTCAATAACACAAGTCCTAGTGGTCTGCATACTGAAGGAGTGGTCACTAGGCACATTACTGAAAAGCATTTCTAAGATAGAAATTGAGAGAAACTTTGTAGAAAGTATGAAAATGAGACCAATCATGGCACTCAGGACTCTGTTTAAGACTCAAAAGAGAACTGTGAAATATAGATGGCTTCAAAAAGACTAACCTTCTGAAGAGGGTTTGATTTTGCAATGAGCAACTATACCATACCAAAGCCCTCTGGGGGTCCAAGGGAGAATGTTGATGTTTCTTTTTTCCATAGTATTAGAAAGAGAAATATAAAGGTTGTTGTTGTTGTTTAGTCGTTAAGTAGTGTCCAACTCTTTGTGACCCCATGGACCAGAGCACGCCAGGCCCTCCTGTCTTCCACTGTTTCCCGGAGTTGGGCCAAATTCATGTTGGTAGCTTCAATGACACTGTCCAGCCATCTCATCCTCTGTCGTTCCCTTCTCCTCCTGCCTTCACACTTTCCCAACATCAAGGTCTTTTCCAGCGAGTCTTTTCTTCTCATGAGATGGCCAAAGTATTGGAGCCTCAGCTTCAGGATCTGTCCTTCCAGTGAGCACTCAGGGTTGATTTCCTTTAGAATGGATAGGTTTGTTCTCTTTGCAGTCCAGGGGACTCTCAAGAGTCTCCTCCAGCACCACAGTTCAAAAGCATCAGTTTCAGTGGTCTTCATTTGAATTCACATTCTGGATCCCTGATATATGATTTATTGTGTGATTCATACTTCTTTTCTTGGTTCCAGCTTATTGAAAAGAAACTCTCTTCTCTTCACATATCCCTGGAATCCTTGATAGATATGAATCTCACTACAGCTTATTCCACAATCAAGGACAAGCTCTGTCACGCCGAATTCAATCACCTATGCAATAACCTTAACTCTGTATGCTCCCCCCTTTCTGTTGGACTTCTTCCACCTCAGGATCACTGTCCCAAATATTTTCACTCCCTAGTAAATCCACATCTAAGAAGAGCTTTTATGTTAGCCCGTTTTAACATTTTTCCTTCGGCCACCCATGCCGGTCGATTTCTCAACATCCCTCGTGAAAAAAGACTTTGTTTCTTCTGCTTAGAGACGCCTGACACCCTGGCTCATATACTGTTTCAATGCCCTGCTCATCACCACCTCCGAAATTTTTTCCTTGAACCTTGGATCTCTTATTTTTCCAATTCTTTTGAGTCAACTCTTTCCATTTTCACGAGCGATGAATGTAATGCCCTGACTGCTGCTGTTGCAGGTTTCTTAGCTGCAATTCTGAAATCGTCCCCTGCTTCTCGGTCCTAATTTGTGAAATTTGTGCAATTTTACTTTTCCTATTTTGCCTGAGTTGCTTGTGTTGTTGTAACTTGTAAATGCCATTAAAGGTTTCAGAACAGAACAGAACACATCACAGAAACTTTTGTCTTATACACATCCACAGACTAGTGGATCTCTCCATATGAATATAATGCTGTATGAATTTCAATATTTGTGCCAGAAGGGAAGATATATCAGCACACTGAATAAAGGTCAGGAAGAGGTCTAAACATTGACCAAAAAAAGGATGCAATTTCTTTCAGTCCAGTGAACTCCCCCCACCCCCCAAAAAAGCAGAGAACTTACTGGCTCTCTCTCTGACCGTTTTCATGTTGAAGACAGAGAGGATGTTATAAAGATTGAGTGAAGGTTCAAGAAAGGCTACTGGAATGGCTGCTGCAAGAGAAGCTAGGCACTCACCAAGAGCTGGTCTTTGTCTGTAAGATAAAACACAATAAATAGGGGAAATCATATGAGAAACTCTTATACAAAAAATCCTCAGAAATGTAAGCTATTAAATTCATACATTGGCTAGAATCCCATTGTGTGTTTAAGGTTTGTGTAATTTGCTTTGGCTAATTGCAGCTAATTGACAAGATGACAGAGCAAGTCTCAGTTGTATGCTTGGCCATAAACTAAATTGACAAACTGGAAGGTCATCAATTAGCAACCGTGAGCTGTAACAAGTTACACCAACCTTGCATGAACATCAGTAGGTTCTAGCCTTTAAATTAATTTTTAGCAACATCTCTGGATTATGTATGCAGAGAAGGGGGGTAGCTTTGGCCCCTAATGTTTGCTTAGTTGATCTTTCATATAGGAAATGTTTTCACATAAAGTAATCCTTGGCGTGAGTACTTTTTCACCCAGAAGGCAATGTCACATTAAACAATATTTTGTGGATAATGAGAAACAACTTATCAGAAAATTCTTTTACTACTGTAGAGTGCATGAATGAAGCTCCTCCCTGCGGGACCATCACTTAACAGAAATTGTCATCTTTTTTTGTCCCAGACATATTTCTTTGTAATTTGCAATAATCAACCATACTAGCAGTAACTTAAAGATCTTTTTTATATTTAGAGTATTGATTTGGGCTGGATCAGGCTAAAGGTCCTTTTTAGTCAAGCATTCTTTTCTCACTGTGGCTAACCAGATACCTAGGGGAAGCACAGGAATAGGACCAAGGATGGAAAGAATACTTGTTAAATTTATAATTTATGAATTTATTTATGCTGTCTTGACACCTAAGCAGAGAATTTTCAAGTGCCACAATGTTCTCTGTCTCTGGTATGAGAGGTATGAGAGGTTTAAATTGTGGCAGCTACTATAAGATCCTACAACTCTTTACTTCTTTTCACAGCTGGTTTTGACTTGGAGGAAACATAGCTACTGGGCTGCTGAATATAGAAAGGGACAGCAACTTCCAGGAGGTCACAGTGGGACCAGCAAAAGTTTCTTTCCACAGTGACATAGCTGTGGGATTTTTGATATCACTCCCTCCTTTTTTAACCAGACTTATATTTGTGCTTTTTATGGAGTAAAATCTTTCTGGGTGACAACTGTTCAAGACTGTCATTTTGATTAGGCAAGATACATCTGTCAAAATTGGAAAATAACAGGTCTTTCTTCAGAGAGAGATCCATCTACCCCACAGAAGGTGGACAGAAGTTGAACAGGAGCCAGGTAGAACTGGTAGATATGAGTATGGGCTGGGTGGAAGAGACATGCTTGCCCTCCAACAAACAGTGAGAGCAGGAGGCAGCTGATCCTTAAAGCGACCCAGAGCAGCTGGACTGAAGTGCTGAAGAGGTGGCAGCATGATCACCTTCCAAGAACTGGTGTGAGGGAAAGGAGATTGGCACCAGTGTAAGACAGAGAATGGGTCCAGAGAGAGGGAATACAGCAATCGGAACAAAGTGGCTCATTCAGCAACAGCTTGAGGGAAGAGAACGAGGTTGAGGTGTCCACTTGGGTGGAGGTGACAGCCACAACCAGTGGAAATAGATGGACATTTTCAATCTGCCTCAGTGGGATTCACTTAATTAATTTATTTAATTTATATGCCGCCCACACTACCCAAAGGTCTCTGGGCCTTTACTTACCATTCAGTTAAGTGTTTACTTACCATTCAGTGCATGATTCAATGGGCCTACTCTTAGTTTGGACTAGCAATATGATGCTGGCTGTTTTATTTTAGCAATTCTGATTATATGAAAAATATGAAACAATTAACCAGAATACTTAAAAAGGTAACACAAGACACTGTGCACTTTCATTAGAAAGGCTACCTTGATATTTAACAGTTATATTTTTAGCCACTGTTACTATTAAAGTAGTAATACAGTAGGAGTAATATTTTTAAGTACATTTTTTCTCTGAAGTACCTTTCAACATAAATATTCTTTCCAGTTCCAAGAGAGTATAGGCTGCAAAGAATTCTGTAACATGAAACCTGAATATCACCCACTGGAAAAAAAGAAAGAAATTTTGTTCAGGCTAACACAGACTCCTAAAGCAAACATTTTGGACTATATGTGATTTAGTCAAATGATGGCTAATTCTTTTACTTGGCAACACCTTTATAAATTGATGTTTAATTAAATTTTATTTAAGTTTGGAACTCTCAATTTTCCCATTCTCTTAATATTCACCTAGTTAAAACAACAGACAAATGTCTGCACATACAGGCCAAAATGCAAAGATGAACACTATAAACCTACAAAGGAGATGCTCAGATGAAGGAGAAAGAGCATGTCCCTGTCCTGTCTTCTAGCATGAAAAATTCATTCCCAGCATCTGACTGGTATAATCCTGATATGAAACAGGTTGATTATATTTATCATATGGCAACATATGAGTAGGTCTTATGCACATTTGCTTAGGCCAAAATTTCGGTTTGATGTTCACCATGAGGGAGATCCCACAAAGGCCTGGATTCTGGCCATGGAAAAATCTTTTTTTTTTATCCCAGCCATAGGCTGTGGGCCCTCGTATTTGGTCCCATGCATCCACCACTAAATCAATGGGCACTTTTGGTTTAGGCTATTGCAGAATTATCAAAATGCTAAATATAGACTGAAGAAGCACCCTATTAATCAAGGCCTATATTAAATGACCATTAAAAGAAAATTCATACAACACCTGTGCACATGATATAAAATACTTAATCATCATCATCATCATCATCATCATCATCATCTTAGAACTGCTGAGATGGAAGGGACCCTAGGGATCATCAAGTCCACTCCCTGCCAAGCAGTCCTTTTAGGGAGAAAGGTGGGATATAAATAAATAAGTAAATGAATGAATGAATGAATGAATGAATGAATGAATGAGTGAATGAATGAATGAA